AGAAAGTGCCGAGCCCCCAGCTTCTCCCAAAGCCGGGCTTTTGATCGTGGGACACGCACACCCCGAGACAAAAAAGATCACCAGTCACTTTTAGAAATCTTGACCTTCCTGCCTCCCCCAGAGCCCTTTTAAAGCTATTTTCAAGCCCAGCCAGGACGAGTTTGATCTCTCCAGTCCAATACAAGCTCCACGTCAATCTGACGGACGCCTCTGCTACATCCCGTCGGTCTCTTCGCAGGCTCCCCTGGATTTGCTCAGGACAAAGGCTGCCGCTATCAGTTAGCAAGTGCACTCCTAGGATGCCGTCTGAACGGCATCCGCTTGCTGCTCTCGTTGCTGGCAGCTCCGATCACATGGGCCGCGGCTATCTTTAGCCAGAGGGCTTCATATTACAAGCGAGCGGTTCGGAGCGGCTGGGAAGGCACAGAAAGATATCAAACCACCGAGAAAGAGATAGGAATTGCACCGGCTGCACGCTGGAAGGCACCTTGGGTACCACTCCTGGCGTGCGGATGCATTACGAGGCACCGCCAAGTGCATGCTTGCTGAGTCGCCTCTCCGGCAGCCAGAGCATGACTCAGACGTCGGCAACCGAGAGAGTCCGGATCAACGTGGAAGAGGCGTTTTTCGCCGTGGACAAGGCCCTGCTGGTGGAGCACAGCGACTACTTCTGCGCCCTCTTCCGCTCCGGCATGAGGGAGAGCACGCAAGACGAGATCCAGCTCCAGGACCTGAGCGCCACGGGGTTCTTCATCATGCTCCAAGTCCTGGCGGGCGAGAGCCCCACGCTGAGCTGCGAGGAGAACGTCAAGGCGGTCGAATGCGCGGCGTTCCTGCACGTGAAGCCGCTGGCCAAGTACCTGATCAATTCGATCAACTCTGACAACTGCATCATCCTGTATCAAGCCGCCGCCATTTTTGGCTTGCTGGACCTTTTCCACAGTGCCGCCCTGTATATCCGGGACAGCTACTCTGAGCTAGAGCAGTACTTAGACTGCCTTTCCCCTGACCTGCTGGATTACGTCGACTCTCTCGTGCCCAGCACGTTCATCGCGGTGGGGGCCCATACGCCCACCTTTGAGTTCCTGGAGGACCTTTCGAGGACCATTTGCTACCTGGACGAGGAGAGCAACGCGTGGAAGACGCTCTCCTGCTTACCGCTGGCGGCCAGCACGTTCCTGGCCGGCATGGCGACATTGGAGAACAAGATCTATATCGTGGGGGGCGTCTACGGGGCCAGCAAGCAAGTCGTAGACAGCAGCTTCTGCTACGACGCCGACACGAACAGCTGGAGCAAGTTCCCCAGCCCCAAGCAGCCCCGGTACGACGTCACGCTGACGGGCCACGAAGGCTGCCTGTACGCCATCGGAGGGGAGTACGAGAAGGTCTCGCTCAAATCCGTGGAGAAATACGACGTGTCCTCCAACACCTGGACTTTCCTCTCCGACCTGCCCCAGCCCACGGCAGGGGCGCCCTGCACCCAGGCGATGGGGAGGATCTTTGTCTGCTTGTGGAAACCCCTGGACACCACCATCATCTACGAGTACGAGACCCAGAAGGACGAGTGGCTTCCCGTCGCGGACCTGAAGAGGCCTCAGAGCTACGGTCACTGCATGGTGGCCCACCGAGACAACCTCTACGTCATGAGGAACGGGCCCTCGGACGACTTCTTGCGGTGCGTGATCGACTGCTTCAACCTCACCACCCGGCAGTGGGCGGCCTTACCCGGGCAGTTCGTCAACAGCAAGGGAGCGCTCTTCACGGCCGTGGTCCGGGGGGACACCGTGTACACCGTCAACAGGATGCTCACCCTCCTCTACTCCATCGAAGAGGACAGCTGGCGGTTCAAGAAGGAGAAGGCCGGGTTCCCGAGGGCAGGCTCCCTGCAGACCTTTCTGCTCAGGCTACCAAGGAGAGACCACAGCATTGCCACCTAGTCGGTGCCGTGCAGGCCACGGCATACGAGAGAGCTGAATGAAGTGGCCTCCCCTTCCCAATCCTCATCTCTTTCTTGCTTTCGAGCAGCTGCTGCTCCAGGGAGTCCCAGGTGCTCTTGCCTTCTGCGTTTGCCCTTCCAAGGAGCCGAGCCGGGGCGAGGAGTGCAATTCAGCCGCCTTGCCTGTGGCTGCCCTCTGCTCACAGTTACGGTGGATCAAGACCTCTGCTCCATGCAAACCCCCCGGCGTTGTCCTCCGGGCACGGGGCTGGCAGAGTCGCTGGAGACCTGCAAAGGAGACACTTGAGAAATGCAAAGTAGTACCAGCTCTCGTGTGTTTTGACTGAATTCTGAAAACTTGCACGAAACCACCGCCCGAGCGCAGGGGGGGAGCCGGCACAGCGCATCTCTGGATTACGAGGAAAAGTTTTCAATACAGACGTCTTCAGCGTGTGTGAACGATGGTTTCTTCTTTCAGGGACACTAAACAGAGTGCCCTGTGACACTGCACGTGCATCAGGCTCCGGGGCAGGCTTGAGGCTCGTTCAGCTGCCATGTCAAAAATTAAAAAAACAAAACAAACCGGTGGGTCTCAGCCTTGTTTTCAGACTCCAGAAAAACGCCAGCTCTTCACTTTCACTTGGGTTTTGGGGTTGGGGTTTTTTTACTATGGAAACATAACAGAACAGGTTTTCTGTTGCGAAGCCCACAGCAGGTCAGGAGAGTTTTAGCACCAGGGATTTGTAGGCGAAATCTCCGGGTTTTGTTTGGGACTCGTGTGTCTGGGCTTGCCCACCTAACGGTGCTAATATTGCCTCTGGGCACCCTTGAAAGGATCCCATGGCATCCGGGGTGCTACAACACCCTCGCTGAGGATTGCTGGCTTCGGGTTATATTCCCGACACAGCTATTCAGGGCGCTGAGGAATACAGCTAAGGGCCTGTTTCCCATTTCAGGGGATGGTGGGAGGTAGACTCGGGTATTTGGGCAGACCCCTCGCTCTATGGGGGAGGATGGAGGTGCGATCTGGGGGGCTCTGCGCTGGGGATGCGGGCCGGAGGGAAAACACTGCCGTCCTGAACCGATCGCAGGTGGCTCTAGCACAGTCCAAGGCAGAGGTGGGCTCAGGGTTGGACCTTTAGGATCTGAGGCTGCAGCTTCAGCCTAAAGCTGGGTCCAGATTTAACACTGCACAAATCCCAAGACGCGATAACGTCGAATTTTGGCTCACAGCAGACAAACTGATCCGGCAGCCCTCACGCTCCAGGCTGGCAGGGAGAGCTGTCCTCGCTCACAGCTCGGTGCCCTTCTAAGACATTAAAGCACAAAGCCGCGTCCAGCGTGGAAGCTGCCCGGGGAAGCCAAGTACACCATGCTGCAGCCCCGTGAATGCTGCCCCCAGCAGCTGGGGCCTTCTCGAATGGTTTAGCTCCGGGACTGGCACAGCAGGCTCAGGTAGTGCTGGCTGATCCCGTGGCACTGTTACGAACCACACCGCTGCTGGGAGCGATGGTCAAGCAACGGGCCAGCCGACCTCCCCGGCAGAAGAGTCCCAACATCAGCTGAGCTACATTAAAGGTGAACATGGCCCGTTTGCAGCTGTGGGATGTGCAGAACATATTGGGCTGGATATTTCCATCCCGCCGACCCCTCTCCTCCTCGGTGCATTCCCTCCAGACGTGGGATGCACAGCTCTCATGCAGGTGCGGAGATGAGGAACAAATGCCACTGGAGAGGTGCAGGGGAGCACGGATAGCCGGGCCCTGC